CTGTGTTCAGTTTTGGGCCCCTCACTGCAAGAAGGATGTTGAAGTGCTGGAGCACATCCAAAGAAGAGCAACACGGCTGGTGAAGGGTCTAGAGCACAAGTCTTATGAGGTGTGTCTGAGGGAACTGGGATTGTTTAGCCTGGAGAAAAGGAGACCTAGGGGAGACCATGTTGCTCTCTACAACTACCTGAAAGGAAGTTGTAGTGAGGTGGATGTCAGTCTCTTCTCCCAAGTGACAAGTGGAAAGGGCCTCAAGTTACACCAGGGGAGGTTTAGATTGGATATTAGGAAAAACTTCTTCACCGAAAGGGTTGTTGAGCATTGGAACAGGCTGCCCAGGGAAATGGTTGAGTCAACATCCCTGGAGGTATTTAAAAGACACGTAGATGTGGTACTTAGGGACATGGTGGACTTGGCAGTTTTAGGTTAACGGTTGGACTTGATGATCTTAAAGGTCTTTTCCAACTTAAACGATTCTATGATTCTATATGTTCTGCCAGTGCCCTGCTCCCAGAAGGCCAGTGAGCAGTGGATGCAGCTGTGTAGGAAAAAGGAGGGGTAGCTTTCCTCCTTAGCCCTGCAGCTGAACCAGGAGCACACAACCTCATGGGATCATCTGTCTCCTCCTCTGTCTTGAGATGTTGCTTTGAATTGTGATTTAGCCCCAGCTGCTTTAGAAATCAGAACCCCATAATGCAACAGATTCCCATTTGATGTCTGTGCCGAGCCACTGAGTCAGTCAATTAAGGATCAGCTTGCACCATCTTGATGCACTGCAGCAGAGTTCCCCACACAGGCAGTGGTACATGTAAAGGGACATGTTCTTTGCTGTGAACTGCCTGTTCTTTTATTTCTCTCCATCATTTTCCCCTTTTTTGTTGCTTTGTTGGCTAACTGGGAAAAAATATTTGGCTCTGACCAAAATTTTTCCAACCACAATGGAAAATACTGTTGAGAATAAGCCAAAAAATGTTGTCCGGAAGCTTTTCCAAAAATTTGCTTGCTTTATTTTAAAGCCCTACCACAAAGTTTTCACATGACTTCTTCTAACTTTGAATATTAGCATAGGCTGGCTCTGGTTCTTCTTCCCCTTCCAAGTGAAGTGGCTCTGGTTCACTTCTCTCTGAGATTTTCCCAGCATTCTAATTCTTCTCTTCTCAGATTTGCTTTGACAGCAAACCCCGGATTATCAGCAAAGGGACTAAGGACACACCATCTGTCTGCTCCAACCTTTCTGCCAAACACAGTTTCCATGACAACAAGTGAGTAAACATTTTTTGTGCTGATGGAAGCAGTCTCTTACAGAAGTCCAGCCAGTTTAACTCTAGGGCCCTGGTTTCTTTCTTTCTTTCCTCCCCATGGCTTCCAATCATAGGGCAGCTCAAAGCATGATAAATAGCACTGTGTGCTTCGCCCTGCACATTTGTTCCTGGTGCTGAGGGATTTCAGGCATGAGCAAAGCCCTTGGAGTCAAACCAAGTTTTCCATTGACTTAATTTGCCTTTCAGTTTGGCCTTTATATAAAGGTCAAACCAAAGATCCTCTAGCTCAGGATCCTGCCTCTGACTGATTGGTAATGAATGTTTAGGAAAACAAGTGTAAGAAACATGTCAAGTACACAGTAATACAAGCACCTTCTGGTTCCTGGCAAGCTGAAACTTAGAGACTTGCTGAGCTAGAGGAGTTGGTATCTTTGCTGCATATTTTGAAATGCATCTGATCTCTGAACTTGAGCAGGGCATCACCTATGGGCTGAGGAGATTGAAAATACCTACCTAGGGTTGATACAGAGTGGGAGGGCAGGGGTTTGGTTTTCCCAGTGGGAGTTTGCTTCTCCCAGAATTGCTTTTCTGTGTCCTTTGCCTGCCCAGTCAAATGTCTGAAAGTCACATGTAGGGAGGACGGAGTGAAGATTTGGTCATCTGGTGCTTCATATTTCTCTGGCCTGGCTGCAGGTGTCTCGTCCACATTGTGCGTTCCACCTCCCTGAAATACTCCAAGATCCGCCAGTTCCAGGAGCACTTCCAGTTCGATGTGTGCCGACATGAGGTGCGTTATGGCTGCCTGCGTGAGGACAGCTGCCACTTCGCTCATAGTTTCATCGAGCTTAAGGTCTGGCTGCTGCAGCAATATTCAGGTGAGTCTAACTTAGTGCAGGACTGGTGACGTGTACACCCAAGTTTCCTCCAGCGTGTGTCTGGGGCCAGCTGAGAGGGGAAGAGTGTGATTTGGGAGTACTGAGAAGTTGTCACTCACTTGTGCATATACTTACTCTGTCTCCTCAGGGACACAGAAAAGAGGGCCAAGGTGTTCTGTGAGATGATTTGGCCGTTGTTCCTTTGCAGATGCTACTGTAATTTGCAGACCAGGAAGCCTTTCCCTTGGGACCAGCTGCATAAGTTGAAATGATTATTAGTTAGAGCTGAATCCCCAGAGGTGTTTTGGTGTTTAAATCCTGTGGAAGACCCTAAACAGCAACTGGGCCCCGAGTGAGTGTCGGGTGCAGTGAGCATGGTAGCGTGCGCAGGTGACAAAGCAGTTACATAAAGGAAGACTGCGCATCTCCAGTTTCTCTAAACAAATTCACCAACAGTGGGAAATGACACGATACTTGGTGTTTCCCAAAAAGGCTTTGATGACATACGTCTGAAGAGGCTATTTGCAGAAATTATATTCAGGTCACTCATATAATGACACTGCCACATCTGGCACTTTTGGTTCTCACTCTCTCTCTGACATGCTGGAGGGTTTCTCTTGCTGCTGTCCTGTTAACCGAGCAGATGCTGGTCCACTCACAATGCTACTTGCATCTTTTTTCACCAAAGGGTCTTGTTTAGTGCAAGACTGGGAGTACTTTAGAGAGGAAACTTGTCATGGATGTTTCTCACCATTCTTTGATGTAATTGGGGGCAACTTCTTTAATTTACTATTCCGGTGCCTGTCACTGTAGTTCAGTGCAGTCCTCAGCCCTGGTGTGGCTCACAAGGGACAGTGATGAACAAGTAGCACACTGTGGCAAATGCCATCTTTTATTCTTCCTGTTTGGCATCACTTACTTGTGGCCACAGGAAAATAAAAAATTACAACACCACAATTTCTAAGACAGCATGTTGTCTGTGAGCTGCAGGCCACTGTTGCTGCCCTACATGCTTATGATAACGCCTGTAGCACTCTGGGCACTCTAATATTCAAGCACCTTGCTTTTTTCCCCACCCCATGGCTGTTGGGTGGCTTATTTTGGTATGTGGGGTTTTTTTTTTAGAAAAAGTTTCTTTGCTACTTCTTTTCCTCCCTCCCTATTCCTTCCTCTTCAGCCTGTAGAAGGAGAAGGAATGGTTAGGCTGACTTTTGCTTCTTTCCTTCTTCCAAAGGGAAAGCTGGTAAGATGAAACAAGCCATGAGTTTAGCTGCAGAGGTGGTCAGCAAGACTTGTGCTTATTCTCATATTTTCCAACAATGGAAGAGCCATCATCTTTTGTGGTTTTGTTGGGTTTTTTTTTTATGCAGGGCTGTATATATGAGCCTGCTTTCCTTGTGAGTTTGCCTTCCTGGAATGTTAGTTTATTACCTCTCTTAAGTGTAGCCCTCATTAAAGAAACAGACATGAAACGTAGTTGTCATCATTCTCTGGGAATGCTTTAGCTTTGGAGCAGAGAGTTTGATTTGGGCTCAGCAAGAATAGGAACGGGGCATCATTCACAGCAGCTTGCATTTGAAACCAGCGGGCTGTTGCGTTTCAAAGCCATTTGAGCTTTTACAGAGCTTGTGGCTTTGTTCATGGGGATAAAGGCTTGTATTAGCGGACTAAAAGCTCCCAAGATCTGAAAATGTGGACAGGCAGGACTGTTTTCTTGTCCACTGTGGCTTTTCACAGACATATCTTACTATCTTCTTCCATCAGTGGAAACCACAGAGTCTTTGTCCTCCCTAATGATGTTGCAAAAGACGCTGAAAAGTTATAAGTAATCAACACATGTGCCTTTTGGTTTCCAGATCATCCCCTTGGGACAGTTCATGCTTTGGAGAGCTGGTGTATTGGAAAACATCCTTTCATATTTGGGAGGGATTTTCTTACCAACCACCACACTTCTAGACTATATTGTTGAGTTAGTTCAGATTTCTGGGACTGGAAGAAGGCAGTCACTTGCTAAGAACTTCATTTGAAATTCTGTCTTCTGACAACAGCTGTATATGCTTCTTCTGTTGGTTCTGCACCTCCAGGATCACAGTGCAGGTGTGCAGAATGGAGATGGTGGAGGTTGCTTTGGCCCTTTCTCTGCCAGGTTCAGTATGGCGCATTAACTATTTGCTGTGGTTTTCCCAGCTTTGTAGTTTTTGTCCCCAAAGTACGGATCAGTGTTGTGTCCAGCCCTGGAATACTTGGGCACAGAAGAGGGAGTTGTAGTTTTTCTAACTCTGCACAGTTTCTTCTGGGTTTAATGGTTAAGAAGGAGAAAATCCACAAACAGGTCTGATTTGGGAGTAGTACCAGCTATGCAGCAGCTGCCATTTTGGAGGCCTGAGCAAATGTTCTTGAAGAATGGTAAAGTTTCCTTGAATGCTTTTCATTCTGTCCAAGCCCTGTACAAACAGCAGGATTCTTGCCTGGCAGAGACCAGGACAGCTGAAATCAGAGATGGGGGAACTGAGGTCAGGAGTGCTGTGACTTACCCAAGTTACACACAACCTAAGCTGAGATGAAAACTGGTGTTTTCTGGCCCTTAAGTTCTGGAACATGCTGGCTCCCAGATCAAAGATCATGTCCATGTGGCATGCCTGGGGAGCACCTCACTTCAATAATAAAAGCTGTAGGCAAAAGCAAAACAAGCATTTGGCATCCTCTCTGTGCTAGGGGTGCTGCATCAAGGCCATCCTTAGCACCCTATTTGTTGCAGTTAGCTGGCCATTGTAAGATACTTACTTCAGTTTCTTTTGGCAGCTATCTCGGGTCTTTATAGCACTTAAATAACATGCCTTTTTTTAACAGAGTCCTCACATTGACCAGACAGTTCCTACTCTTACATATTTTTCTCTCATGGTTTAGTGCTCTGAGAATCGTAGCGCACATCTAGCTGGTTGGTGCTGGCAGGGGCTGTTCCCTCACCACTTGAGTTGGTCGGGAGATAATTCCTTAGATAAGGTCTGACCAACCCTTTTTCTTGTTGTCTGATGTTGCATTTTTGATTCCTGAAACCTTGCAGAACTTTCCTTGCAGACTACATACTAGCAGCTGTTCCTTGGTTGGTTTTGAACTGTTGGTCTTTCCTTGCTACCTTGATTGCATTTGGTGTTTGTCTGTGTTGAATTTCAACTTTCCTCTTCACCTATCGATTGATGGGTACCCCCCACAACTTGAAGTGTGTAACAGACTAATTAATCCCAGCAGGGATTAGACTTCTGGGGTCTTGGAAATGCTAGATGTCTCATCTGTGATCTTTCAAGCTAGCGGCAAAAACTCCAGTACACAGTAGATCAACAGTAACAGATCTTCAGAACATGTTGAGGGAGAGCCTTGGTCAAGGTCTTGATCCCTAGTCAAGAATCAGCTTGGCAGCAACATCTGGGTCTGTTGCACACAGCCTGAGCAGAACACCAGGTCTGAATGAGCCCAGGAGACCAAACTCTTCCCCATTCATCTGGCTGGAGTGGGAGTGCTGGAGTGAGGAACCTTCCCTAGCCTGTGCTTGAACACATTCTGTGGTGGTGTCGGGTCCACTCACAACCCGTGTCCTGGCATTACCAGTGGGACTGTTGGGAGCTGTCAGCCTCAGAGGGGTTCCTAAGCCCCAATACAGGAAGTCTTGCAATCCCTCCCTCCCTCTCTTCTGTTAGCCGAAGCAGGGTAGCTCAGTCCTGTCTCCTTTTGTTTCCAGGAATGACCCACGAAGATATCGTGCAGGAATCTAAGAAGTACTGGCAGCAGATGGAGGCACATGCCAGCAAACCAGCCAACAGCATGGTAAGTAAGGTGCAACTAGGACTTACAGCCTGATTTTGCTCCCAACTGTTCCAGCACTTTTTCTCTCTTTTTCCTCTCACTTCTGTGCCTGACCAGTCCCAGGCAGACCAGGCTGGCCATTGAGGAGAACAGGAAGCTGAGAGCGTTCCTGATTCCAGTGCTAGTGATGAGCCTTGTGCCTTGTTTTGCAGTGTTGTATCTGCTCTGTTCAGTGGTGGGGTGAAGCCTCCAGAGCACGGAGAGCAATGTGCAGGGAATGGCGCTGCGTGCGACACCTTGTTAGTGAAACTGGGGACAGTGGCCACAAAGGGTGGGGATCAAAGGGGTCCTGCTGCCCTTTAGTGGCCAAGGGGTGATACGGCAGCATGAAGGACTCAAGAAATTACTCATGACCCACAGGACTGCTCAAAATGCAGGATTGGGTGGAATTTGCAGCTCAGGTGCTTGTTGAGGCCGGGCGGAGATCTTTGTGGTGCTTTGCCAGGAGGAGGCTGTGAGCTTTGCCTCTCTTTGTGCCACCAGTCTCTCAGTGAGGGAGAAGGTGCCTCTGACTGCACCCTCCAGCACTGCCAAGAGGTATCTTATAAGCAAAGGACACCTCTTTTTGCTTTCTTCCAACCTGTTGGCTATGGGTGGCGCTGCCATATCCTTTTTTCCCCAAGCGGATGTTCTGTAGCGTAGAACCAGAGCCCACCCAGTGAGGATGATTCCCAGCCCAGTCCTGAGGTTGACCTAAAGCAGTTTTGCCATTAGAACAGGGACGATTTTGTTCTTTAATTACTTTCAGAAGATATGTCTGATGAGATGAGAAACTTCATGCCTCCTAGCAAGCTCTCGGGTGTAGGAACAATTCTCTTTCCTGAAAAATGGTGGGGAGTGTTGTGAATCCTTTTTGTTCCCACTTGACATCTTGCTTTCCCCCTGTGGAGCCCTGAGCTTGCCACACCTTGGCCTGTGCCTTACTATCAGAGGAAGGATGCTTCACCTTTCTCTGGGACCTCTCACCCAAAAGCCCTCTGCAGAGACAGCACTGAGTGCAGCCTGTGAGCACACTGCAGAGGAGGTGCTTTATAGAAAAGGGATCTGAGTCACCCATGTGGTGTGTAGCAGCTTTTTTTTTTGGCTAGGTTATGGGCCAGCAGAAGTGTTCTGAAGGTTGTAGGGCACTGATGCAGGTATGGGTTAGCCCAACAGGAAAAATGCAGGTGACTGCACTGGTGCTTGCGATGGGCTCTGTGTCCACCTACGTACTGATTATGTTGCATGAGATGGAATCATCTTTGAGGAGATGCTCAGCAACATACCTGTGTGGCCCATTCTGCTGTTGCGGTCTGAAATGGTTGGGGGAGAGGAATGGGAAGCAGCAGTCCAGAGTGACCAAGGTCTCTAGTTCCCAAAGCTGTCTGACTTGCTTAAGGAAGATGTTCTGGCCTCTCAGGAAGCTGAGAGGACAAGTTTCTATAGCTGGTATTATATGAGAAGTGAGTCTGGATGATCTGAGTGGCCCCTGCAGACAGAGCTGACTATGATCTCTTTCTGCCTGGTGTGGGGACAGAGGCAGCTGCCTGCATCTCCACAGTGGAGGAAACTATGTGTGAATTTGCAGCAGTTTGTGACAGTAGTTGTATTTATATCAGCAATCCCTGCCCCATGCAGAGTGAAGTCTGGTGACTGCTTCTGTCCTACCTGCTGTGGATCTGCCTGCATTTTCCAGAAAGCTCTGTCTTGTCATTTTGTGTTCATAATCTGGGAATAAAAAAAGATAGATGGACAGCTGTTTTCCTGTAAACCTTCGAGCTTCAAACTCACCTTTGTCTGGAGGTGCTGCTGTTGGAAGAAGAAGTTGTTCAGCAGGCATGGTCAGAGTATGTCCTCTGAAACACGTGGGATCTGGATGCTCAGCAAGGGTTTCACTTCTGACTTTTGGGGCTCACAGGGGACAGAGGATCAGGAAGAGAAATGCCAGCACCTGCTACATCAGCTGTTGGGGGATGGGCAGAGAGCTACAGTTTCTGGGCCCTATGGACAGTGTTAGGGCTGATGACCAGTGTCAGAGCCTGCACACCACAAATGCCTGTCAGAGCTGGCCTGCACCCTCCACCCTTCTAGTGCATTGGTTTGCGTGGAAGTGAAGCAGCAGCCTTGTTGGTACAGTCAGAAAGAGCCTACCAGCGGCACCATCAGTTGTCTATAGGGTTTGGCAGCCTGGCACTATGCAGGGAGACAGAATCAAGTCAGTCAGACGCATGCGTTTGCAATAGCAAACCGTGGCTTTGGCATCAGCACATACTCAGCCAGAGAGCCGTGCTCCGGGATGAGACACTGGCTTGCTGCTGAAGACCCCGGGGGCAGGACTAACGTATCTGTTGAGAGATGTTTACTTTTGCCATTATTTTCTCCCATCCAAGCAGGCTAACGTGACTCAGAGTTTTCTCAACGTCCTTCCAGCTTTCGAAGTTGGCTGCCTGGCAAAGACAACTTCCCAAGAGTGCTGTAAAAGCAGACCTCTCCTTCCCACCATCCCCTGTGATCCACGCTTACCCCAGTGCCCTCTGGTCAGCGGAAGCAAAGTCGCTGCCAGGGATTTTGCTGCAGTTTTGTCACAACTGCCAGCTGGACCCAGTTAGCTATCCAGCTGTGGAGAAAAGCAGCAGGCAGCATACAGGGACCCAGCAGCTGTAACGATGCAGGTCAGGAGACATAGCAAGAAGTGGAAGATGAAAATACACTGCTTGCTAAACACCTGCCAGAGATCTCACACTTGGCCCCACAAATTTGGCCCCATAGAGGCTGCTGTAAGAATAAAACCAGCTGCTGCAGATTGAAGAGGCAGTCAGCAGGAAAGACTGCTGTAGGTAGCTGGGTGTCCTCCCATCGCGTCCCTAGGAACTGAGGGGTTTTAGCCCTCGTTTTTTCTGGTTTTTGAGGGCTGTTCTGTTTTTACTCCACTAGCCAGCTGCAGAACCCCCATAAAAACTGGCCTCAGAATTAGCAATTTAAGCATGGAGAAGAAAGGAAAGTCTCTAATAAGGGGTATTTGCACCTAAGTACAGCTCACTCGGTTAGATGGCTGAGTAACCTGGGCTCCTCATAGGAAGGAGAAGCCTGAGCCATGTGGCTTGTCCAGAGAACATTTCAGTATCGCTGAGAGGGATTCCTGAATTTGGGAGACATGAGTGGCTGTGCTCGGGCTGTTGCTTTCTGCAAAGCCTGAAGTGAAGAGTTGTCGTGCCAAAGACTTTTATTTATTTGGTTGCCATGGTGCATAGCTAACACTATATTGTCTGGCTTCATAGCAAGGGGTGGTGCCACAGCCTGAGGCACTTCTGCCTGGCTTCATCTGCTAGAGCCTCATGTGATACTAATTTCCACACTGTTGGTTATCAGCAGCCTGCCAGGTATGTGTCTTGCCTTTACAAATACAGTCATGTAGCAGCAGCAACAGCAGCTTTGATTTTTCGCTTGGTTCGTAATTCCCTGGGAGCATACGTGCCCACTGGATTGACCAGCAGTTTGCATGACTCTGATGAAGAAATGCAAACTTTTGGTTAAGAATTTGTGGAAAAAGCAGCCCAGATCACTAGCATTACCTGAGAAACGTTTTCTTTATCCGATCTATTATGCCTTCTGGAGCCACTCAATTTTTCGTTTTGCTGGATCGATGTATTTGAGCCAGTCTTCCCGATTGTCCTGAGATCTGTCACCTGGAGGATTATATGGCAGATAGCATTGGGCTACTAAAAGAGAATACACCAGCAGTGCCATTTTGTTACTTTAGGCTATATGTTTGGTGGGTCAGTGACGAGCTGTAGTGTAATTTTCTTCGCAGACAGGTGGAGATTAAAACTACGGTTCAAAGGCCACATGTCTGAGAGGGAGGCACCTTAATGACTGCTGTGATATCCCAGGTCTCAACCCTGCTCATCCTGCAGCTGGCCCCTTTGATGCGTAGTTGGTGGTCACCAGCACTGGTGAAAGCTGACAGATGAACAAGTTGCATGCCGGATGCCACCAGAAAGACTGACCTGCAGGCGAGTAGGCCAGACTCACCGCTGCTTTTCAAGGGAGATGATGGTTCTCTGGAAGGGTCCTTTTGCTAGGACATCCAGAGCAGTGATGGCCTCTTGTAGTCAGCGCAGGCAAAGGTCAGCTCTCCAATCAGGTTTTCAACAGCGATGGAGGACCCTTTGTACGTTGGCTTTGCTTCTCTGAAAGACTGGGTCTGGAGGATGCAGTGGTAGTCAATAACTTATGTGGCATTTCCCAGGAAATGCTTTGATTCTGCACTGCCTGTGCTTGCTGTTTTCCCTTTGCCTGGGGATGTGCATAGGATCCACACTACTGCTAATCAGTTGCTGGCAGAAGCCTGCTCCTCAGGGACTTCGTTTGCCTGTTTGCTCGTTATTAGATGCTCAGGGTTAGAAGTCAAGGTATGGCAGCTGGGATGGGCTGCTTATGTGGTTAGCAGTTAGAGAGCTGTTTTACTGGTACACAACCCTTGTGCTTCACGGTTGGATCGATGACCACGGTGTTCTTTTAGGTTCTTGCTTGTACCCTCACATACTGCTGTGCCCAGGGCCACTGCTGTCCAGTCAGGTTTGCTCTTTGGTGTGGAAATGAACTGGAGACACTAGCCTCATGTCTTCCAGTGGTGGTACAAAATGTAAAGGGCTTTCCAGAGATTTGCTCAGAAAACATGAGGCGGCAGTGATATGGGACTGGCTCCTTCTTTTTTTTCCCCCTCCACAATCTGTTAGTCATAATCCCAAAAGAGCCTTCTCATGGAGGCAGGTAGAAGGCCAATGAAGTCAAGTGACTGAGAGGGTATGAAATATGTCTTCTGACAGTTATACCTCTGTCCAGAGATCATGATTAACTGCCTGTGAGGCCTGGTGCAAAGGAACTGTGGAGAATGGAAACCTGCCCAGAAATGGCTTGGAAGGGTATTAACAAGAGGACCGAACTCTGACTTCAGTGTGTCAAATGCTAGATGTGACATGAGCTCTTGGTCCAAAAGCAGGAGTGGTGGGTCCTGTGCCTGCCTTCCTCCCGAGGGGGCTTTCTCGGCTGTGCAACTGAGCTCTCTCCATGCATAGCGAGGGGGACGTGGATTGCCCTCCCTGCAGGGAAGTGGGGATTAAGCTCTGGAGCAAGTCTCACAGGGCTTGTCTGTACACAGAGATATGCTGCAGGGATTTCACAGCCAGGCCTGGTCAGTGCTTGAAGCTGCCAGGCTGGCTGTGCTTTTGGCCAGATGTCAAAGCCTAGGAAATCATGCTGAAGCAAGCGGTCGTTTTGCTCCTGTCTGGTATCTCGATGGGCCACCAGCTAACACTGGCATGGGAGAGCTGGGCTGTCTCTGATTTAATCTGGCTTGTTGCTGGCACGCAGGCATGCAGGGAGCTGCCAGCGTCTCCGCGGCAGTTTGTGAGGTGCATTTTGTCTCTGTTTTCCTGAGGTTGTGGTTCTCTTCCCCAGGCTTCTCCCCGTGCTCCCACGTCAAGCACCTTTGACCTCCAGATGAAATTTGTATGTGGCCAGTGCTGGAGGAACGGGCAGCTGGTGGAGCCAGATAAAGACCTCAAGTACTGTAGTGCCAAAGCCCGCCACTGGTGAGCAATGCAACCTTTTCTTTCCCCCACTCCTCCTCGAGGGCAGGAATTTCTCTTTGTACCTTCTTCAGGGTTTTATTTGGCCTCTTTGGAAGAGACTGTGAGGTTTCCTAGCAGCCTCTTGCTGCTCAGGGTGTTTGTCATTATAGCAAGCTTTACATATAGTTGTTTTCCAGTTTCCAGCTCTCTTCTTCATTGTTCGTATTTACTGCCAGCATTGTGCATGGTGCATGACAGCCAGACTGTTACTCCTGGTGTGTGCATCCAGCTTCTGCAATTCCCTTTTTTCCTTTTGCTTTCATTTCTCCTTAGCGAGGTCGCTAAGATAGTTCTCCTCTGCACTTATTTATGCTCCTTGCTGTTTGAAGATACCTGTTATGTGACTATTAACCATGATTCAAGTTATTCTGCTTCCTCTTAAATTAGTTTCCTTGGCCCTTTAATGGCTTTAGTTGCTCTTCTCTGACGCATATCTTGTCTTTTTACACCTCCTGGCTCCTTGGGGCCCGTGAGGATGTTTGATGATAAGGGAAGAGTATCAACTGGGAAGACACTATTGGGTCATGCAAACTGTGGCCCCTCTCACACAGGCAGCCAGACAGGATAGGATGGAAGGGTTTGTAGGACTTCATTTCCCATAACACAAGCCATAAAGGCACAGTCCAGCATCCTATTGCAAATGTAAGGCCTTTGATGAAAAAGAGACGGAAGCAGCAGTTGCTGGAGGAAGTGAACAGGTGAGGACCACTTCCTGGAACAGGAAGGATAACACCTCTTTGTGCAGCTGCCGTATAGACCAGGGTAACTCCTTGTGATCGCTTGCTGGCACTGCAAAAGAATTAATACTTCCTGGCACCTGTTCATGAGGCAGTGCTTGTAATGACTTGCATTTCTACTGCTCCTTTCAAACAGAAAATATTCCCAAACGTTTTTTCATGGATCTGATTGCACAAGAATTTCTGTGTCTAAGGGTGGAATACAGCTGTTTAGTAATCCATGGTGATGCCATGTGACGCTTAGGGGAGTCTTTTGTGGCATTATGAGAAGAAATACCCCAGGAAATATGTGATAAATACAGGGAGAAATGCTCCTAAAATACCCTGCTTGTGTCTTCTCTGTCATAGACATGTGTGTCTAGGAGCAGTCAGACAGTGGCAGGGACAAGCTGAACTGGGGGATCTGGTCATCTTTCAATATTTAAGGGTCTCTGAGGAAAACAAAACCTTGTTCTGCTTTTCCTTTTGCCTCTCTTGATTTATTCTCTCTTCTTCAGTTGGACGAAGGAACGTCGCGTCCTGCTGGTGATGTCCAAAGCAAAGAAGAAGTGGGTGTCTGTCCGACCACTGCCTTCCATCCGCAACTTCCCACAGCAATATGATGTAAGCCCCATGCCCAGCATGGCCAGGTGCCCCTTCCCTCCCAGGATGGTGTAGTGCTTTGAGGGCTGGTCCCTTGTAGACCCAACAGGGAAGCAGGCACATGTTGGCTGAGGTGGGAGGTAAGGATAGACTGAGGGCAGCAAGATTTCAAATGCATCCAGCAAAAACGTGGAGCAGAAGAAGGAGCAGCACCCGTTTAAACCACTCTACGCACGTATGCGCGTTTCTGACGTTGCTGTTAATGCAGTCACCATCTCAAGAAGCAGCTGGCACAGGGTTTGGAAATGAGATATAAGTCTTCCCTTAGGTCAGGGTTTCTCAATGTGGGTGAGAGGCAAGACAGAGCGCTTGGGAGAAGCCCGTCCCTGCCTTTGCTGTAGCTGTGGTGCTGTAGATTGTGAAACTTGCTCACAATGTGTTTTGAAAGCAAAACTAAGAACTCAGCTAAAAAGGCACGTGCTGTGAGGAAAACAGCCCCAAATATGGTGATTGATAATTTCTGTCTCCCTCTCCTTTCCTTTCTCCCTGAAAGGAGAAAGATCCTCTCCCTCCTACCCTATGGGATCTGCTGCCCCTTAGTCCATGGGCAGGACAAAGCCCTGTGTAAGGCCTTGAGCGCTTTCCAGTTGCAGGCCAGTTGCTACAAGCTGGGGAGGGGAGCAACAGTTATTTACAGCTGCTGCAGTAGGAAATGAGGCCAGCAGGTGAGTCGCAGATCGTGCGGCAAGGGCAAGTCGCTGTACGAGTGTGTGCTTTGCCTGAGCTCCTACCCAGCCCCCACCAGAGAGGAACAGCGTTGTCTCTTCCCCCCGGTTTGTGTGGACCAGCTGGTCTCCACACTGCTGTCCTCCTCTGGTGGCAGGACTTGGGGAGGAGGGATGATCAGTAAGTATGATGCTTGGAAAGGTTCTTGTTTTCTGTGGCAATGATGCTGTTGGTAGCTGTGAGCACTAGTGCAGTCTAAGCAACCCGTAAAGTCACTCTTCACCTGCTTGGAGATGGCTGGAGAATGAGTCACCTTTGGGGACCAGTAACCAACCAACAACCAGTAGGAGACACTGTTGGGTCAATCCAGGTTGCTCCCTGCTGTCTCCCCTTAGGGCCAGTGCTAAGCATACCTGCACCCGGTCGCCTGTGGAAACGGCAACAAGAGAGAGGCCAGGTGCTGAACTGAGCTGCCTGCATGTTTATAGGGAAGTCTTTACCTTTCATGTCATCTGGATCTTGAGGAAAAGAAGCATGAGTTAATGACATGTGAAATGTCCTGTTTGCAACTTCTCCTTTGTGCAATTTAATGTCCTGGCTGGTTTTTTGAACCTACTTTCCCCTCTAGCAAGGAATGTTTGTGCAGCTGCTAAATTTTGCTCTCTGTCTTTTAACAGTTGTGTATCCATGCACAAAATGGCAGGAAATGCCAGTATGTGGGCAACTGCTCCTTTGCCCACAGCCCTGAGGAGAGAGACATGTGGACCTTCATGAAGGAAAATAAAAGTGAGTGAGGGAAACATGGGCCAGAGAGTTTGGGGAGAGGGAAGAGGACATTTGGGCAGTGGATGCAGGGTCTGTTAAGGCATACTCTTGACAACAGAGGCGGAACTGGACAAAGATGGTACCATGAGCTTAGATGGGATTATGGGGCAGATCCCTCTACAGTAATTTAGAGCTGCATATTGGTCCCATGTCTTGCATTGCTCCATTGTCACCCTCCCTTTCTGCAGCTCTTTGAATCCACCCTCTGCTGTCCTTCCAGTTGCCTGTACTGTCCTAGGCCCGGCTCCATATGGAGCTCTGCCAAAGTACCAGTCCTGACCTGTAGCTACTTCTATATCTTTCTTGTCTGTCATGTATCTGCCTTGGCTTTCTTGCCCATTTCTGCTCATACCCCTTGCTTCTGGGCTGCGGCACTCCCTGCTCATGGCATTGTATTCAAAGGAGTGGATTTGAGATCCTGAATGAGAAAATTGTTGGGTGGTGCCTTTGTGGAGGAGCTTGTCTGGAATTAATTACGCAAGCTCCCAACTTACTTTTGGGGGGATTAGCTCGGGGGGTTGCCCACGTCCTGGACGGCCAGCTCTCTGGCAGCAATCCTTGTTTATTCAGACCAACAGCAAGCTGGGAAAAGACTCTTTTCCCAAGGCCCAGTTGTCCAGGTGCTCACCTAGCTGTGTTGGGAGATGCTGGAAAGCTTGAAGGGTTTCAGGCCTGTCCTGAGCTTGTTTGGTCTTCATGCTTGGAGAGCCTTTCTCTCAGCTGGGCCAAATGCTGTTAGTTGTTACAGTTCAAGTAATTTTGTTGCTGAGGCCTTTAAAGCACATCAGACCAGTCTGGGTGTGTTTGCTTAAGCATGAAGGTGATTCTTCAAACGAGAGCGTTGTTTCAGTTTGGGGGAATTTGCATTCATTATCCCAAATTGCCTTGAGTTCCTCAATTACCCATTTTGTGAGGAGTTAATCACTAACACATCATACTTACAGCATCATATTGGTGTCTGCAAACATTTATGTTTCCATAGCCTCTCTCAGGAGCTGATCTGGGAAAGGCAGATGTGCAGTCAAAGCTTACAGCCAAAATTTTCCTTCCCATTAGTATCCTGAGTGGGTTTTAAAGCAAAAGCAGCAAGAGATATCAACTGCACTCCTCTGGGCAGGATTTGAACTTGGGGCAAGCTATCATTAGGTCTTCCTCCCCTCCCCACTGCTTCCTGTGGCTTAAGGGCTCTCCGCCCTCTTGAGTGCTGAGGATGAAGCTTTGGCTTAGAGGGAAGGGATGGATCTGAATCCAGCCCCTGCCTTAGCTCCCTGGCTGGAGTGAGATGTCTTCTGGGGTCAAGCAGAATCAGGCCTAATGGAGAATCACCTTGTGGGGTGAAGTCCATGGAGATCTTGGGGCACTTTCCCTCCTTCCTGAATACTTTGTATAGCTGCTGTCACGGTTGCCCCTTGACTCATAGAAGACACCTTGCCACGCCAGGCAGTGTGGTGTGAATTTGTTTCCTCTTCCCAGGGCTCTCACCTGGGGAGGTGACATCTGGCCTCCCGAGCATAGGCCTTCAATCTGCCAGCAGGTGCTGCTGCACAGGAGAGGGGAGGGAAGGGCTGCCCCAGCATTCATCCTTTTCTCGTAGTTTGTGCACAGTGCAGGAGGTTGTCTGGGTGACTTCATGGGTCGCCTTTCTGCAGTACTAGATATGCAGCAGACCTATGACATGTGGCTAAAGAAACACAATCCTGGGAAGCCTGGAGAGGGGACACCGCTCACCTCGCGAGAAGGAGAGAAACAGATCCAGATGCCCACTGACTACGCTGACATCATGGTAATCAGCTGATCTTTTGTCCTTCATCTCTCCTCCTCCTCAGCACTGATAGCCTGCCCTCTCCTGTGCTCCAGGTGTGAGCTAGCAGGGATTGCATTGCTCTTGTGGGAAAGAGCCCATGCTAATGTAGGTTAAATGGACAGCTTGGAGCAGCACAGCAAGGGCAGCACAGATAAGGTGGGAAGAGATTGACCTGGGGTCAGCAAGCTCTGCAATGGCTTTTCCGTTAATCCTCAAGTCAATAGGAGTCTAAGTAGGCTCCCTTCTGTGTGGGTTCAGCCTCTCCCCAGGGTTCATGTGTGCTCCTGGGAAGGCTGGCAAAGCCAGAGGATCTGGAGCATAGAGGCCTGGGAAGACTAGAGGCAGATGTGTCTCCGTAGTCCGGGGTGGTAGCTGGTGTAAGGGTTTGTACTCCTGAAGAATCTTGCATTGCCTGTGTGCCTGGGGGCCTTGCAGTCAGAACCCACATGGGCCATCAGCAGGAGCAGGGGGACTATGTCAGTGAACTGAGCTGTCTTGTTCTCTGAGCTCATTTGAGCTATAGGAACACCTCAGCAAAGTATCTCCTCTGCTCCCCCTTAGTGGCAGCACGATGCCTTGAAGACAACATGGCAGGGAAGTGTGGGAGGTCATAGACTGAGCAGAGCAGCTTCCAGGATGCTCTGGAAGGAGAGGGGGAGAGGCAGTGCCAGCATGGGGAAGGCCGATGGGTGTGACTGTTAATGAACTGACTGGCCCTTTGCCCTGTCTGCGCCGGTTAGATGGGCTACCACTGCTGGCTCTGTGGGAAGAACAGCAACAGCAAGAAGCAATGGCAGCAGCACATCCAGTCAGAGAAGCACAAGGAGAAGGTCTTCACCTCAGATAGTGACTCCAGCTGCTGGAGCTACCGCTTCCCCATGGGCGAGTTCCAGCTCTGCGAAAGGTACCATTGTCTCATCTCCCTCCTCTGCTGCTGCTGCAGGGATGGGGCAACAGGCAGAGGACCTCTGTCATCCCTCCTCCTTCACCACCTCCTCCTCTTCTCATGGAGTCCCCAGGGACTTCCGCTTGGAGGAGCAGTGGGATGAGCTGACAGGTTTGGTGATAGCGGGGCTGCTGTTGGACCCCAGAGGTGCTCAGCCACACTGTTGAGTGGTAAAAACATTCCCGAGCACATCTCTTTAGAAAATGAGAGCGAGCTTCATGTCTGCAGCTCTGCCCTCCATAGCCATGATGCTCTCAGACTGATTAACAGTCTGCTTGGCCCGATGCTTGGGGGAATCCCAGGTGCTTTATGAAATGGTTTGAATGTCTCACACCCTCTGAACTGGTGCCTTGAGGTGTCTTCAGAAGGCTTGTGATGGTTAGAAATGCCATTTTGGTTAGAAGGCTGTGTCTCTTGTGGCTGTTACCTGGCATTTCCTCTCGTGTGGTGGTTTCTCCTCATCCCTGCTGGTCCAGTTCCAGCTCATGTTGTTTTGTTCTGTTGACTAAATCCCCTCATAGACATTGCTCTGTTTGCTGCTCTGTTTCTGTGCCCAACCTCCCTGTTGTCTTCCCCAGCTGCACGTGGGTTTGTAGGAGAATTGCCTCGCCTTTAGAAAGGACAGTTTGCAGCCTGTTTTGGTGGGCCCCAGTCAAGTATCGCAGATGGGGAGGTGAAAACCCTGTCCTGGGGATGCTGTCCTCATCGTGCTCCTTGTGCCGGCAGGTTCCAGAAGAGCAAGGTTTGCCCCGAAGGAGAGGAGTGTCGCTATGCCCACGGCCAAGATGAGCTGACGGAGTGGCTAGACCGGAGGGAGGTGCTGAAACAGAAACTGGCCAAAGCCCGCAAGGACATGCTGCTCTGCCCCAGGGATGACGACTTTGGGAAATACAACTTCCTATTGCGGGATGGTGTATAGTAAGGGTTGGGGGGAAGCCTGTCGGCTGGAGAAACACAGGGCGGGTTTTCCAGGAGTGGCAGTAGCAGGGAGAGCGAGATCTGTGTCTCGCAAACAGAACTTTTTCTTTTATTTCATTTTAAGATTATGAGACAATGATTTATTAGTGGTGAATGAAATCGTGAATTTGATTCTCCTTGGCCAGCGAACGCCATGCTCACTGAGTTTGTGATTCATCTTCTCTCCTTCTTCTTTCCCCCAAATTCTCCTTCCTCTCCACCTTTTTGTTTTCTCTGTCCTTCACTCAAAGGAATGAGTTCAGTCTGTACTGGGCTGTGAATCAGAGAATTTCTCTTTGTGTCATTCCCCTGCCCTTCAGTTCAGAGTGTGGCTGCAGGGGTCTGGAGGACCAACCTGAGAGAAAGGACCAGACATCTGGTGAAAAGTTGAAATTCATGTGCTCCTTTTCTCAGTGCTGCAGAGCAAGCCCCACTTACGCTGCTGCAGCTGGCCTGCTCCCCTGGGAATTCAGTACCAGAAGAACTAGGAATTGAGGTGCAAAGAAGGAAAACCACTAGATCTGGTTTAAAACATCTAGGCTTAAGCTCCTGCTGTCTGTTTTGCCCTGAGGCATTGACTGGTGCAGAGGAGGGTAACAACCATTGGTACGAAGAGTGTAGCTAAAAGCAGCAAAGTAATACAACTGCATGCAGCAGCAGGAACTGGATTGTAGGTGAGTTCAGACTGTTTCAGCTGACTGGAGCCAGAAAGCAAATTGCTGACTCCTCATTAGATGTCTTTCTCAGTGTGTGACAGGTATTCAGGGTGGGCAGTTCTGGTTTGGTTTTTTGGCTGGTGTGACTGGTAAGTCACAGCAAGTAAGACTGAAGCCATCTAGAAGGTGTCGTGGAGAGTGTGACACACCCTGTGTCACCACGGAGCAGTATCAGTCAGGAAGAAGGTTGTAACCAAAAGGAGCCTGTCTTTCTGTGTCACCTTGTGTCCTGAAGAGAGGGAGGGAGGTAGTGGGGTTCCTTTCTTGCTCTCTAAATGGTGTGTGTTACTGGTTATTTAAGAGCTGTGTTTTTCCCTGCACTGCCGGGAGAACTGGGTGGGGACCCATTTAAAAGGACACCATTGAACAGCAGGGGTGATGGTTTGCTGATGGGAATCCAGCTGGGAGGGTGCTTAGGAGCACCAGAGGTCCAGCCCCACTCCTCAGAGCTGGGCAGGGAGCTTGCAGATGCACAGTGCAGCCGGGATGCGACCCAGGGCAGGGACCACGGTGGAGGGCAAGTGGCACAGTGGGACCTGGCCTTGTGCCTGGTCCTGTCCTGCCTGCTGTGCACCACAGTGGGGGAACCAGTGATGCTGAGCTCTGGGCCAGGATTTTTGTCTTTTATAATGGCAGCGGTGAGAGGCGGTACTGCTCTGTATGCCAGCCTTGTCCTTTCTGGCGGTCTCATCCTGTAAGCAGTAAGCGTGTGTCCTGTCTTGAGCGTCCCTCTCCTCCTCTCTTCTGCAGTCCAACTGCGCTCTGCAGTTTTGCATGCATGGGTGGCACTGTCCACTCAAACACAAATACATCTCCCTCCCAGCCTTCGTGGGTGATGTCTTTTTCATACAGAGTCTCCCAGGACAGCAAGGAGCCCTTGGGGCTGGCAGTGCCATATCTGTGGTAAATACAGTCTGGCCGTGAACTGCTTGGTGCTTTGGCATTGCTAGGTCCCCCTTTTCCCTCCCTGCTCCCATATCCTTGGGGTTCCCAGCTTCAAGAGAGATGGGATGTGGAAATACAGGAGATGTGGAAATGCAGGTGATGCTGTGGGGGCAGCTGGCACCTTTCTAAACCAGCTTCCAGGTAGCTGCATCAGCTCCCCTGAGGTAGTTATGGCCCAGGAGCAGAATGCACTACATGCTAGTCTTGAGTCTTTCCAGAGATACTGTGTGCTCTAGGTAAGCTGAATGTGCCTCTCGGCTTGTTTCCTCTCCTTTAAAATGTGGATGGTGGTCACTGGTTTGGTCTGAGCTTCCCTTCATGGCTGTACAGCACCTTGAGGAGTGGAAGGTCTGGAAGGAGTCAGGACCGTAACAGATGATAATACACAGGTGGCTTATTGGAAGAAGAAGGGAGGGAAGTTATTTCCATCTCTGCCCACGTCTGGGGAGGAGGATGAGATGAGGAAGGATCCGTAGTGCTGTGGGGAAAGAGAGTAACCAATGCAATATCAGAGACAGCAGTTTTTGAGTGGTCAGGTGCTGTATTTTCTCCTCTGCCCTTCGTTGTAGCTGTCCAGATTGTATCTTCTCCAGGTGCTTCTTGTGCTCAACTGGTCAACTTTGTAAACCAAGAGAGACAGGGGAGGAGGTGGGCACCAGCTCCTGGGTTATCTTGTTCTGCTCTTCTTGGGCAGAGATGCCAAGGAAGCAAATCTGGATTGGGGAGGATTGGAACATTGGGGTTTGGGTTTTTTTTTTTTAAACAAATCTGCATCTCTTGTGTGACTCTAGTGTTCGCTGTGCCGTGATTTCTCATGCGATAACTTGTTTAGGTTACAGAGTGGGTCACTGTCCCCTCTCCCTGTCTCTGCGACGAGAACGGGGCTTCGGAGGGACGGAGTGGGGCCAAGGCAGGGAGAGTGCGAGAGTGCGTGAGGTGAGGGAGGCCCACGGTCACGGGGGTTGTATCAAGTATCTCTTTTTGTTTTCCCTGATATGATAACCTGGTCTGTGGTGTTGCAGTACTTTGTCACCAGACTTGTTTTAGTGTGTATATATGTGACCCCTCCCATGAAACATATATACACAGGTATTAAATATATCGCTCTATATAATATTATATGTGTGTGGTATCAAAAGAATCTTTTAAATGAGGGTGAAGGAAAAGGACTCAGGCCAGGAAACGCAGCATCTCCTGTTTAAATATGAAGACTTTTATCTGGGTTAGGGAAAGGGAAATAACAAAGAGGGGAGGATTCTATATAGATAGGTATAAATTTTGAGATGGGACAGGTTTCCCTGTTCACATTTGTGAAACCCCCTAGGATGTCCTCGCAGTCCCATCTCAGTGAAAGAGTATTATACTGCTAACTAGTGAGTACAGTTTTAATGGTAAGGCTTTGCTTATATTATTTAAAGGGACATTGTGAAAGACAGGAAGCTTCACACTTCCCAGGCTTGCTTTATCAAGCCGAGGTGGTTTTCTTCAGCATGTTACATACTCTCAGCAGCACTGCTCAGTGCTCACGGCTCTACAACAGATAAACCACAAGTCGTAGGGCTGCTTTAGTGATGCATTCACAAGACCCTGTGACAACTCTCTCTTTTCTTCATTCATGTGAGGGAAAAAGAAAATTTTGCAGTGCAGAACCAAGTCCGAGGGTTATTAACAAAAGAATGATGTTTTAATTTTGTGACATTAGAAGAAATCTCATCTCCTCTGAAGTCACCACAGACACACACACTCACATAGAGTAGAGACTTCAATTTACATCAACTTGTTAAATGCTGAAGGACTTAGTAGAAAATCTTTTTCCAAATCCTTTGGTAGAGGCAGGGATTCAAGTGATGCTGGTGTTGGTGTCAATCTGACCTTGACAAGGGGAAGTGAAAAAACAAAAAAATACCCTACTTAGCTTGTTGTGAAATTGTATGTCAAAAATGGATGGGTTTTAGCAAGTGGAAGGAAAAGATAGCAAGGGGATGCTGCAGTTCTGAGCTGGGTAGTAAAGATTTTGAGTCCTTTAATATGTCTTCGTATTAATATAATTTAAGAATACCACGCTTTACTATTAAAAAAGAACTTAGTATCTTTCATAAGGTCTAGTATCAGGATAATAATGTAGATGTTTTAACAACATTTTTGTTTTTGTTCTTAAATAAAAAAAAAACCAAACTTGCTTCTTTTAGCCTTTGTAATAGAAAATAAAAGTGTGCACTTTAAACCCTCTCCTGATACAGTGTGTGTCTGCATTTTTCAAATAGCCCGCAAAGGCTTTTTATCTTGGTTTCAGGTTTTGCTGCTGTAAGGAGGGAAGCAAAGGGAGGATTTCAAGCATTAGACTGCTTTCACTTTCTCCTATCCTTAAGTATAATCTACTGCTCTTCTTGCTGAGTGGAAAATTGCCTATGTGTGTATTAACAGATCCTGCAGTTCTTCATCAAACACACAGTTCTGGTGAACTTTAGGTGTGTTTAAGAGTGGTTTTTTTTTTTTCTTTCCCCCAAGCACCGAGAATTTACAGGCTCTGCATTAACACATAGTTTCAGGTGTTTGGGTAACCTGTGTTTTGAAACCTCCAGTAATCAGGTCTTGTAATCACCTTCATCTGGAGGTTGTTCCGCTGTGTAGGCTGCTCTGTTCAACTGGGTCAGCTAGTTCTTTTTCCTGCCAGTGTGCACCCTGCCAGGGAGAATGCCTTTAGCCCTACCCACCGAGTCACAGCTTGGGCCACAAGAAGTGTCTGTGCAGGTTCGCCCTGGAGAGAATGCTGTGCAGTGAAGGTCACACCTGGGGGAAGAGGTCAGTGTGAAAACACTTATTAATAAAACTGTTTTATTTTTCAAATACATGATGATGCAGATTAATCTGGGATTTTTGATAAAGCCAAAACTGGAGATGCAGAAAAGACTAGGGAGTCTCGTGGAGACACCCTGCTAATGCTGTAGCAACTGGTAGAATGATCATAAGGTCATATCTAGTGAGACGTGAGGAGAGGAGACTTGTTAGGCTTCTCCCTGATGTGCCCACGTACAGACACAAGGATTCATGTCCTGGTCAGAGGAGGAGAGGCCTGAATACAAGCTTGCAGTGCAGAGGGAATGAGACTGGTTGCACTCTTAAGGTGCATCTATTGACTATGTACAACGTGAGAGGCAGTAGTTTTACCCTCCAAAGATTATTGAGGCTGTGCTCGCAAGAGTGAGGGTAGCTTTTCCAGGACAATGGGGACAAAAACGGTCAAAGTGGGAGGCAGACAAAGCACAAGGAGAATGGTGACTGTGTTTTCCTTGCAGGTTTG